TATCTGATAGACCATATTATTCTGTTACTTTATTTATAGGAACATTCAGTACTGAAGACACTTATTTGACAGTTTTCAAAGGATTCAAGGACATTTCTAATGAAGAGAGCCAGATTATATTTTAATTACTTCCTGGTACTAATCAGGGTGAGATACAAGTTCTTTAATACAACAGAAGCTATCTTGAGATAGGGTGACTGCTATCCAGCTGCACAGTAGTCCTCAACAATCACTATTCCCTTTAGCCTCATTTGTTTAGCGCTCCAGTAAACAAGTGGGACTTCAGAGGCAGTCCTTAAAATGGACTTTTGACATTTGGGTGGAAGTACATACCAGCATCCAATTTGGTAATTTTTTTGGTGTGGTTCCCCCCACCCCCTCTTTTCAGTTTCATCTTCAAAACTATCAGGCGTGCTAGTAAGTCTAAATCAACTGTAACTAAAAAAAAAAAAATACACTTGTTAAATGCACAGACATACAGAAAACTCAAAACTCAGTAAAAATACTTCAGACTCCAAGTCACAATGGGAAGGGGAGGGGTTATTAAAAAGCCCTTAATAAAGGGCTCTTGTTTAGAGCTTGTTAATTACTGTCAGTCAAGCATGTACAACAATGATCCGATCTTTCAAAGTGAAATTTCCACCTCCAAGTAAAGAAAATAATGCTTAGTTAAATCCAGAGGAGCAGCAAGCCTATGTTTTTGTAAGAGGAAGTAGTAAATAGGCTTCAGAAGAAATATGAAAAATATTTAGATTTCCTAGAGGATTTCAAAATTCCAGTTATAAAAGCCAGAAAACATTTGCTGTTAGAATGCTGTTTAATTGATACAATTAAACTTATGAGAAATGCCAAGATGGAGTTTGTGACAGGGAACAGACGGTTTCCTGAACTACATCAACCAACATGCATCTTGTCATATGCGTATTGTGTAGGAAGCTTACAAGAAATATTTTTATTTGCATTAGCAGCAACTTGGTCCACTAGAGTTAGGACAACTCCAAGGTATGTAATTTAATAAAGTGTCCTCCCACTTTTTTGCAAACTTTGGCATCTCTATACCCGGGTGCATAATGGTAAGTGCCCAGCTTCCCACATTTTGTCTAAAATATCCCGAGTATAAAAGAGTCAGCTCCCACATAAACTGCATTAAGCATAGCCCTTAATGTGGTCATTTCAAATTCAAATTTACTTGCATATCACTTAAGTGGTTTTTTTTGGTTTTTTCCCCTCCCTCTTTACTGAATGTCTTCCCGGGAACCAAAAGACATGAGTTACATGTATTCAAATAAAGATGCTATCTGCCTAATTAACATTATGCTGTGAGCTCTAATAAAACCTCAACAGCAGAAAGAAAGCACTACCAACTCTATGACTCTGTGTGGTTTCATAAGGAAGCTCTTCCTTTTAATGCACGTCAGGACTGTTTCAGACAGCACTTGTCAAATGGTGCTGGAGTCAGTCCAAAGCAGCTCCAAACACTCTCAGGGCATCCATTAGCCTGCTAGTAGATAATCATCCTGTGGTCTGCCACAGGTTCTTTAAAAGCAACATTTCAGAAGCACACTGACATTGGGTCCTTTAACTCTAGAACATTACAATTAAAAAAAGTTCCCAAAATACTGCTAGAAGTCTCGGTAGAGGGGATGGGGTGGAGAAAGGGGCAAGGGGACAGGCAGAAAGAAGTCCAGAGTTAAATCTGGTTCCAGTTCCAACTGCCAATGTCGAGACAAGCTGAATTGCAGCACAAGCACTCCTGCTGAGGTTCCCAGGCAGAGAGAGACAGCTCGGTAAGGGCAGAAAGTCAAAGGTGCAGTGAGCATCCGCAGCATTCAGTCATCTCCATCGTGCTTTGTCTTTCAACACAAAAGCCTGATAGCTGTTTCAAGCAAAGGCTTGCAAAGTTCTGAATGGTCTTCAGGTAAGCTCGTTTATATTCTTGCAAGAGAAAGACTTACCTGAAAGCTGAAGCTTGAGAAGACAAAGTCACTTCTTGCTGTGGCTATTCAATTGTAGTCCACGTTGTTTTCTACTTGAAGCTGCCACTTTGTGTCTTGACAGCAGCTTCTTCCATCCCCCCTCCCTCAGTCCTCTTAAAAAGAACAGATTTTCCTAGTTAATTCAAAATGACTGAATTATTTCCCAATATAGTAACTCAAACCACTTACTGTATAATCAATGCTTTTAGACACAAGTATCCATTGGGCATTTTATTTCACATAGATATCCATGGGGTCAATTACACTTGCTGTGCAAATCATGCACTCGAGCCTGATCAGTGACACCAGAAATTCAATTATCTATGGCTTTCTAGATGAATCTTTTGATAGACTAGGGCGCAGCTATGCAGCTATTTAATTTAATAAAGCTATTTAGATCCAACGTTAAGCAGATGGTGAAACTTGGATGTGGTTACATAGTAACACATTTGAAAGTGACAAGTCTAAATCTCACTTCGTCTGGAAACTGGCTTTGGGATAACCTACGACAATCAGCTAAGTAGCATCAACATCCAAATTAACCAGGTTCTTCCTGCTATTAGGACGTATCTGAAGGCAATAGGCAAGTAGTCTAAATATTGCCTTCTGGTACAAGCAGGACCATTTCCTCCAAGCACCATTCTGTGTTTGCCTTTTTTCTTGCTTACTCTGTGTCATGTATCACTTGCAAGTAAGGTGGTTTAACCGTCTGCAGTGTTGCATCATTGTAATTTTTCCAGCTATAAGAAGGATAGCTGATGTTGATAAGTTACCCATTTTCCACTTGGAAAACTCCTCAGACTTAAACATAAATGCACACTCCACATCCCTCATGTCTTTACACAACATGAAAGTGGAGGAAAAAAATTATGCAACACTGATTCTCAAACATTTCCATATTAAGTCGAAAAGTAATTAACACTGTCCTGAAAAGCCAGAGCAGAGGGAGACAAACCCATTTTTTAGTAGCCAATTTTAAAACTGCCTGAAGAGCCAATACAAAATACATCTGAACAGGTGAGACTTTTTGCCTTAACCAATATTTGGTGTTTGGTTACTAATCCAGGGCTTCTAGCAAAATTCCTGGCCACAGGAAACAGATCCAGCTGACAGTAAGCATCACATCTAGACATCACAAGCATTAGTAAGAAAGTAGCATACTCTGAAACAGTGTGTGTCTTCCTCCAGCCACCTTAAGCCTTTTGCTCATTTGCTTAGCCTACCTGTGTAAACGGATCTCCAACTGACTCTATCCATCAATCTGGATTTTAAAGCTAAAACAAAGGCACTTTATTTGCCCACAGCCATTTCTCTCTTTCCTCTCAATTCCTGTCAAAGAAGGAAAGAACTTAGTTGTGGGATTAAAGTCAGGCTGCTTCAGTTTTTACACATAATAGGAGCAGTCACAGCTGAAGTCTGGTCTTGAAAGAGCCAGTTTATTCAAAAGATAGAAATACAACTGCTCTATGTTTTATCTACCACACCTGACAAGGAATTCAGCTTTTGCCACAAATAGTGCCTGAAAGTAATTATTTCCAAATTATTAGAGCAGTTCAGGAAAGTTAGAGATCTGTGGACTCTTTTTCTTGTGAGTACAATACAATGGTGGCAGCAGAGACCAGGCTTAGACAGGTGTCTGTCTCTCCCCTGACCAGACAGCAGGGAGGTCTGAAGGGCTGAAGCGTCTTTTGTTGGTCCACTGCTGCATTGCACATGACCTAATACTGCATAAAGCCATAAATCACCAGGAAAAACTTAATTTTCTGGAGTTTGCTACAAGCTGAATTGTGTGAACAAATACTGGCCCTAAATACTTTGCTGTCAAGAAAAGGAGCTGTTCAAGAATACAGAATATCTGAAGTCATACAGAAGACTATAACACACTTCTTAACGAGACAGGCAAGATGAAGTATTAGGGAGACTGAAACTGCAGGGACACATCCCTAGGGACAGGATCTAATGCAGCAAGATCACCAGGAACAAGAATTCAGAGATCCAAGACGATAATAAACAAGTAAAATTGAACACTGGGAAAAGGACAAAGGGAAAAAAACCAGACAGTGGAATCTTTCATGCCATGTCTTAAATACTTCACTTGCAATCCTTAGCCAATACAGCCATATCACTGTTTTCTCACAGATGCAAAATGAAGTTACTTTACAGTATTGATATTGAAGTCATATGGCACTGGAGTGGAACCAGAAGCAAAAGTGGCAGACAAGGATTTAGTCAAAGACATCAGATTTACCAAGTTACACTAAGAGCAGCACCTGATATATGGTCCCAGGCATCCTAAAAACTCAGAACCCACTAAAGTTTTACTAGAACAGGAACAAATTCAAGTGTGGTGCAATGGCAAAGATTCAAACTTCTTCCTCTGGCAGTCAGTATTAAAAAAGTTATTTCCTGTAAATCTCTGTTGGATTATAATTCTAATATAACCTAGTGGAAGAGTACATTTCAAGTTGGAATATAATAAATCTGTGGCTAACCTCAGTCAAATGGAAAGGACTTTTTAATATATTTCACATACTCTGTGCATTCTCTGTGCAGCCCTGCACAGAAATTCAAATTCTTCTCAGCTGTTGAGGAAGCTGGAGTCTACTTGGTTTCCAAATTGGTCCCAAAATTGTGAGGTAAATTCCAATTTACAGTCTTGATTACTAGTCATACAAAGGGTAAAAGAGTCACAAGCTTGGCTTGTAGGCTCCCAAACAGAATTAATTTTCTACTGGCAATTGAAGGATCTAGATTTAGATATAGCATAAAATCAAGTAAAGATCACAAAAGACTAGAAGAAGTTTCACTGAGGGGTTGTCAGTGCTGATTAAAATGCCTAACACATCTCTACTTGAGTTCATGTTGTTTGAATAATTATTACTAAGACTCGCAACCTATTTTTTGTGCATTTTCATTCAGTATAATTCAGCTAAAGGTACTAAGCTAATTACCAAGAACAATTTCTAGAAGCTGCCTAAACTTTAAAAATCAAAGTTCTTTCAGAAAGCACTCTCCACAATGAGGTCCTTTCACACACTGGTTTATTAGAAAAGACACTCCTACCTAGCAGTTCTTCATTGCTTACAAGTATTTTCAAAGTATATCATCTCAGTTACACATCAGGACATACAAAGACAACAAAAATGAATGAATGAATGAATGAATGCTGGTAGGTTATAATGCCATTGAATTTTTTAAGCAATATACCAAATACACCAGAAATTCTATTACGTGTTACCCTGCTGAGATATTCAACCACTCTTCTGCCTTTGCTTTTTACTAGTTGTCACAGTTTACTGTAACTTTGACATATCTTTTTAGAACATCGTTAGAACATCTTTAAACTATCTTTAAACACCTTCAGAACAACTGGTCAAGCAAGTGCTTCTAAGTTTCCACAGTACTGCAGAGATCTATGCCACCAACTGCACAAACCCTGCTGAAAACAGCTTTGGAACACCACTGAAAACCTCAGAGCTGCTTGATTAACGTCAAGCCTAATATTTTCATGACACTGGTAAGATACGTTATATGTGTAAACTGCAAGGAAGCACTAGCTTTGCTCTTGGGAATAAATGCATTTCCAAAAGTCAAACCTAGTCTTCTACTACTCTGGTAAGTGCCACAGGTGGACAGAAAACCCTAGGCTACCTCCCACAGGGCAATCGAGCAGTTAACGACCACAGATACTTCGAGGGTTTTTTCACCCAGAGCTTTAGATCTCCTCTTCAGCAACCTCTGAAGTGACCTTAGTTGTCAAAACAATTTCGACTGCTCTGCTATCTGTTACTACAGCACTCACCTGCAGAGACTTCAAACAATGCAGTGGTTCAGAGAGAACAAGTTCATGTCTGTGGCATCAGAAAAGTTATTATGATACATTTTAATCACTTATCTATTCAACAGTACAGTTTTCTGCACCTGAATTTGTGTCACTCGGAGATGGAAATAGCAGCAACACTGCCAGAAAGAAGCTAAAGTTAAGAACTCTGAAGGTAAAAACCTTGCCTCCGCTCTTCATGAACAATCATCCCCTTTTATTGGGCTTTCCTTGAGCTGGGTACCCAATACATTAGATAATTTTTGTGACTGAACAGTAGTAGTCCTTTAATAATATCTTATTTAGTGTTTCCCTTCTTTTAATAGTACATTTTCTTAGATTTCACTTGTATTGTATGCACAAACATTTTCGATACTCCAAATACTAAATCTTATACATTCTATAATTGGACTACCTTGTACAATTTAAAGATACTTGAGCAGAGGACAACTTACATTTCTCAAAGCTAGAGATGTGAATTACTACTCTTCCCCTCCTTTCCTACCTCCCTCACCAGTGATTTTGGGTGTTCAGTTTACCTAAGTGCTAGATTTTAACAAAGTACTATACGCTTCCTGTAATGTAAAATAAATATTAGAAAGGATTTCAGCAGACAACACCACAGACATTCAAAAGTGGCACTGTTAGGAAAAAACACATACTCTGTATATGCAATTAGAGAGAAGGAAACATATCACCAAAAAAGTGGATCCATTTTCCCATACTTTAAGCAATCTCAAATCTAAACGACATATGAAAATTTTATATTTTGAATGTTTTTATTTCAATCAAAATACAAATACAAGCATTTGAAAATGTACAAAAATAAAAAAAGGACATTTTCTACATCTTGAAAAAGCAGATCAAACCTACTTCTATATGTACAATTCTTTCTGTGGGAAGTCCTAATCAGCAGACTTTTTTCTGTTCTCTTCTGAGCATTCTGTGCCAAATCCCTCCCCCAAAATCCAGCCACACTGAAGACTACAAGCAATAATTCAAAAAGCTAACACACTAAATGTCCCTGAACAGATTACAGTGAAACCATTTCTCACAGGTAATAAACCTGTAGGTGATAATATATTTTGCTAATGACTTTAGGGCAAATTACATCCTGATGGGTAGTTTGCAAGTCAAGCTTTCTGCAGTTTGTTGATATATAACTTGGGTAACACAGTTGGACTACATTTTCAAGTTAGTTTTACAAATTCAAAAAACCAGCTAGAGTTTTGTTGATAGCATTCTTCCTCCCTCTCTCCTTGCCCCAAAGTTTTAATTCTTCACACAAAAATGTATCTGCAAATAAGAATAAAGAGCCATAGAAAAGGTGTGAACCAAAAATAATTGGTTTTTACATCATCTGCCAACATAACAGGGACTGAAATGATCACCTGCTCATTGTACTGATGAAGGCAGAGGAAGTGTTATCACAACAACAGGTTTGAACCACTCTATAATGTATATCCTAATATTTTTGGTGTGAAGTTTTCCACAGTAATATTGATCAAATTATCTCAAGAGGTATAGTTCATTCATGGAATTGTCTACCATTCCATGTGTTTTAATGTTTGGCCAAGACACTGTTTTCTTTTCATGTTTTGAGAGCTGATGTTTTCTGGAGCTGCAGTAACATAAGGATAAGGTGAGGCAATGCTCATGGAAAGAGGTAGGTGCTTAAACTGACATTGTGGGAAAACATATTTTTGGGGGACAAAAATATGAGTCCTTCTTTAGGCCTCAGATGCAGCAGGTAGCTTTAAAGTTTAAAACAGCTGCTCAGTTTACATGAATGTGCTCAGTTCCTAAAAGAAAAGCAAGGTGACAGTGGTTCAAAGGTAGCTCCCAAGAAACAGGTTCTCTACAACCTTTTCCTTTGCCTTCCCTTCAGTTGTCAACAGAAAGCTGCGTAGCAAGAGAACAGCTAATATCTGCTTCTACAGCATCAAGAACACAGGCACTAAGCCATAATCTTCTAGCTGCTACCTGTAACAAGCTAGAAACATTTAATTTACCTCGCCCTATCATGGACAGGGATCTCATTACCTTTTACAACGCTGGAGATGAATGCAGGTTGAATACAGGTTTAACAACGACCTCCTGCCTGCAGCACATTTCACTATGCTACCTTTCAACTCTGCTGCTTCTACAGCTTTGACTCTTGCCTCTAAAAAACCCAAACATCTGCAGAGGAACACACTAACACCATAGAATTCATGTTCAGTTCTGTACAATACCCAGTTCAGTATGACACATCCATTCTTCTCAACATTTTGTCTTCAGGTCATCTAATGAAAATCATTATTCTGTACTTAAGTGTACATGTACTTAGAGAATACACAAGCCATTTAATTTTCTCCAGCAAATTTTAGACACCAACCTATTTTCTGCTGTCTTAAAATATTTCAAGATTGTCCTGTGAGCTCATTTCAGCACTAACAAAGTATATTCTTTTTTTTTTACTGAAAAGTACCTGGTTGACTGAAGCCTTTCTTTTCTTGCTAAGACATAACACATCCCAGGATGTTCTAATGCAAACTGAGAAGAAAGCAAGGAGTGTATTTATTACCAAGCAAGGTAAACTCTTTAAAATAGGAGTCATACTTGGAAAAATGGCTAAATAGGAACTGATTGGTATGATGTAGCTTCACATAAGACACTTACAGAAAGTTCTCTCTGTCTAGTCATCTACTTCCTCCAACCAAGTTTCATATAGACCTAACTGTAAAACCAAAACCAGCATGGACATCAACAGGCAGAATCAAGAGAAAATAAAAAGTTTCTGATGTAAGGCTATTGCTTCACTTTTAACAAGGTGGGAAGACACACAGCATACTTTATAGAAACAGCCAGTCAGTATTTGAGAGGTAGTGTAGTTGTTCATTTGACTGGGAGAGGTAGAGCTAGTTGAGAAATCAATAGCTAAGGCCAGTCAAAATGATTCCCAAGTTTTCTAAAATGTGATAAAATGACTCTCAGCCTGAGATTAGTAATGTCACAAGGGATTCAGCCATCTTGCTCATATTTACTGACTTTTACATAGGTAAAGTTATTCTAAAATATCCATCCAGGGAGAGAACGCTCCAAGAAACAGCCAAGGAAAAAGCTTAGCTACGTTTTGGCATGTGTCAAACAATTAATCTAGGTATGCATCTTATGACTAAAGCTAAAAGGCTCTCCTCTTTTGGCAGGTTGATAAAACTACAAAACCAAACACATGCCCAAGACTAGAAGCAAGTTAGGTCTCAAATTCCTTGCAGTTTACCTATAATAAAATTCTCCAGTGCAATTTCTTCCCACAGGAAAAAATACCAATTATTTTAGAGATGAAAGCCAACGAGACATACGGGTCATACAGTCAACAGGTAATAAAACCCTTGTTAGAGACATCTGGGTACAGAATCATACATAATGCTCCCTTGGATTGATGTAGACTCTTCCAGGTCCTGAGTTTTGTGGGTATCTGCTGCTCCAATTTTTGTGGTAAGTTTGTTGATAAACAGGATACGTAGGCTGAAGACCTTCTTGTTCTTCTGGCTCTTCAGCCTCGTAAGTGAATTGCCTTCCATTCACAGCTTTCTAAACACACACAAGAATCAATGAGTTTCATATTTCATGTACAGAACCTGCAATTCCTTTTCTTGTTAAAATTTTAAGCAACAAAACAGTCCTATGAATAAAGAAACACAAACTTAAAAATTTGAATCACTAACAGACATGACAGAAGCATTAGTAACTACATAGAGTTAAGCTCAACCTTTTGTTCCAAAGGAAGTTAGAATTTAAAGCTCAATGAATCTAATGAGCAAATCACCAGTTATGAAAATGTCTGTCAGCAACTCCTGTGCTTTGTTACGTTACTCAACAAAAAAATCAAAGCTGTAGTGTTTAGGTATTTCAATTAGTGAAACTACTACAGGAAATTAAAACGGTATAGTCACTTCCCACTTCATGGATAGCAAACCCACACCTCCAACAGTTATTGACCAGGATGGACAAAGGTTTTATGTTCATGAAAAACATCTTTATAAGCTTATTTTAAGGAATAAAATGAAATGAAAGCTTTATTTAGAAATTCAAGCCGTTTTATTATTTACCATGTGCTGCAAGTTCCCAGCATCTTTCTCTCTGTACTGGCTTTGCAAAGGAAAATGTTCTTTCTGAAAGAAGAAAAGTTACAGTGGAAACAAGTCAAGATTCAACACTGCAGAACAGGTTTGGTTTATACAAAAATACCAGCCATCACCAAATACACTCTTCCTTGGGAAGTGTCTTAACTGACAACCATTTAGAATCCTTTTTATAAACCAATGGCTGGTGGAAAAGAAGATAAGTGTCAGTCAGGGTCATCTGTTCCAGCTGTGTCCCCTCTCCCAACTTCTTGTCCCGCTCCCAACCTCTTGTGCACACCCCCAGTGCACTCTCTGGTAGAGCAGTGCAAGAAGCAGAAAAGGCCCTGACAGCGTGCGAGCCCTGCTCAGCAACAACAAACATCCCTGAGTTATCAACACTGTTATTTGCACAAATCCATAACACAGCCCCAAACCAGCTACTGCCAAGAAAATCAACTCCTCCCCAGCCAAACCACCCACTGTAAGAGATGAGGTTCAAGACCACATAAGGAATCTGGAGGTGCACAAGTTCATGTGACCAGATGAGATACATCTGCAGGTTCTGAGGTAACTGGTGCAGGAAGTGACTAAACCATTATCCATCATATTTGAGACATCATAGCAGTCCAGTGAAGTTTGCACTGACTTGGAAAGAGGAAATAAACCCTCCATTTTTAAAAAGGGAAACAAAGATGATCTGGGGAACTACAGGCCGGTCAGTCACACTTCAGTGCCCAGAGAGATAAAGGAGCAGATTCTCCTGGAAACCATGCTAAGGTGCATGGAAAATAAGGAGGTGACTGGCAACAGCCAACATGGCTTCACAAAGGGCACATTGTGCCTGACAGATTTGGTGGCTGTCTATGACAGGGTTAATAGTGTTGGTGGATGAAGGAAGAGCAATTGATGTCATCTACTTGGACATGTGCAAAGCATTTGACGTTGTCTTGCATGACATCCCTGTCTCTAAACTGGAGAGCCATGGATGTGATGGACGGACCACTTGGTGGATAAAAAATTGACTGGACGGTCACACTCAGAAGAGTTGTGGTCAAGGGCTCAACGTCAAGTGGGAACTGGTAATAAGCGTCATTCCTCAGGGGTTGGCATCCAGTCTGGTGCAGTTTAACATCTTGGTTGGCAACATGGACACTGAGATTGAGTGTAGCTTCACCAGGTTTGCTGATGACATCAAGCTGTGCGGTGTGGTTGACATACTGGGGGAAAGAGATGCCATCCAGAGGGACCCTGGCAGGCTTGAGAGGTGGAAACTCATGAAGTTCAACAAGGCCAAGTGCAAGGTCCTGCACCTGAGCAAGAACAGTCCCAAGCACAAATACGGGCTGGGTGGAGAATGGGTTGAGAGCAGTCCTGAGGACGTCCTGGGGCTGTTGGTGGATGAGAAGTTAGTTAATGCAGAAGACTCAAAATCTCCCTTCTTCATTTTTTTTTTTTTTTTTTCACGATTATGAAGGAGCAACTTCATGAGTGAAACTGGCCTATTTCCAAATATCCAGATAATCACCAACTGCCTGACTTAATGGTCAATCTTAATCACACCATGCCTGACTTAATGGCCAATCTTAATCACACCAAGCAACATCAACTGAGAATTATGATTTAGGATACATTTTACACTACAGTATCATCACTTCTAATTAAGCTCTTCCCTTTATGCCACACTTAGTAAAGGGGCACAACAGGCTAAAGTGGCAATTTTTGCACAATTCTATAATTTTTGTTTTGTAATTCCTTCTTTTCCCATCAGTCTCACATTGGTAGCAACAATACAAAGTACCTAAAGCTCTGGTCTTAGAGCAGAACCCTCACACAACAAGTATTCATACAGGTAGGTAACATTTGCAGGGGTTCTCACCCAAAAAAATAATTTTGGAAAGAACCCAATCTCAGTAACATCTCTCTTTCTTTTCTCCTCCTTTCCCTTAGCTTTTTACTTTTCCACATTTGTTTAGTTCAAGTTTTGAAGCAGCTTTGAGTTATGTAACTTTTAATATGACCTCCAAATGCATTGTAAAATTACTTTTAAAATCATCTAATATTTTCTACCTTCTCCACTTCTCCAACAGTTATTATTCACCATCTTCACAGGTCTATTATTCCAAATTTTGTTTGTTAAACTTTTTGCCTTGTAATTCCATTTCAAAATGTCCCCTCCTGCCCTTAAAGTCACACTGCTTTTGCTTTTCAAGTCCTAAAATGCAATTTGCAGACTAATTCTGAGAATATGTGATTTACTACTCACCAGGAGACACTGCTCTTTCACATCTGAGCTAAGAGCATGAATTCACCACACAAGAAGGCAAAACACACGTGGAAAACAAGTACCCCCCATCTTCCCCGAAGGCTAATGTTCTGTGAGAAAAAAACAAACTTCCTGCTCAAGACATTCTACCAACAGTGGATTTAGACATGATTAAGACAAACACTGGAAAGTGGAAGAGCAAATTCCAGTTAGTTCATTTATTCAACTAAAACTAGAGACAAAGGAAATCGTCTCACATGGCATGAGAAGACAAGACCTTTGCCAGAGAATAGAGTTTACAGCCATGGAGCAAGTGATAGAACCAAAATCATCAGGTTCTGTCAAACAAAACTGGTGTTGAGCTACACTATTTCTGTGTAGGGGAGATAGTGTACTTGGGGTTCTGTGCTGATAGTAACAGTAGTTAGCATCGTCTTAGCTTTACATTATGCAGAGTTTCATACAAACACTTTTACTCTGAGCATGCTCCTTTTAAAACAGTCCTTTAAAAGCCTAAACCAATTATCTCACCAACAATTCTGTCCTGTTTTTTCTCAACCTTTCCGATTTAGAAATCTCATTACAAAAGCATCCACTAAAAAAAAGGCTTGTGCCTCATTCTAACCCCTATCTGGGCAATATTTTGGGCATTTCCCCTATTGTAAGACCCTTTATCAATATTGATGATTTTATCTATGAACGTTTTGTGCTTCCTTTCATTCAGTCTCGTTTGGTTAAACAGTTCTTCAGTCTATGGTAAATTACAACAATAATACTGCCTTTTTCATCAAGGAAGAGGTATTTTAATCTGCATGGAGAGCATTAGGAAAAGAACTAGAAGAGTGGAAGGGAACCACAGTCTACAAATGAATCAACATTATGCTAGGTTTAAGAGCACTGTGGGTGATGTTTTCCAGTCTGATTCAGAAATACTGTCATTTGGTAAATGGTGTTATATGCTTTTAACTGTGCTAAGACAATTTCACCATTTCCTTTCCTGTTTGGAATAGGAACACAAATATTACTGTTAAAGAGCTTTAGCATTTGACCTCTTTGTGTGGTTAAATAAGTGAGGCATTCCTCCAAGCTGCAAGTCTAAAGTCAGTCTTCTCACGGCTAGAACTACCTACTGGGCTGTACTTTCCTTCATCTGCTCTTATTTTCTGTTGCTACAGAAGAGCCCTGTTACATTCTGAATCCTTCAAGAACTCTGAATTTTGCATTGCATTATGCAAAACAATGTTTTTTTCCTCTTTCCTTCAGGAACACCTGTCAAGCTACTAATAGCTTCAGTTCTTTCCCGTTGTCAAAGACTACCCATCTCAGTCACGTTTCAAGGCAAGTAAAGAAGTTTTGTTTCTAAGCAATACATTCTTTGAAACAGTGAATTTAATGATTCCAAGGATTGCCTGAATTAGTACACCCTCCCTCTCCCACTGCTTTTTTAAATATTACGCAACAGAAAAAAATCCTCTTTAAGCCACTGGAATTCTTCCATTGCTCAACTTCTTGATTTGTCTCAAAAACTCAGTTGCCAAGCAGAGATTCCTCTCTCACCAAGGACGTAACCAACCTTCAGGCTGCTCACTGCTCTTTCACATTACACGCAATAAATAGTTCTGAGTAACAGAGTAGCATTTCCATGACAGTGATTATTAAAAGAACACCCAGACAAAAGCAGTAGCTTTGCTGATAAAAAAGGTGACAAAGATGAACCAACAGTCTTCACAGTAAATTAAACTATAAGGTTGTATTTTCCATGTTCCACTTAATATCCCTGTGTTTTGGACTTTTGCCTCACTCTTTTACAGCCCCAGTGAGGCAGTTCTTCTCAGTTCTGAAGTGATTCACTGTATATGTGAATTGGTATTTGCAAATACCAGTACAGAGCAACTATGAGTGCTCAGTTTCACAGTACTTTTGCACCTCTGTGCAGCCTATTATTTCCACTCAGACTGAGCTGAGCATCTATTGCTGCTGACAATGCAGTGACACTCTCCCTACAGGTGTTTTCAGTGTAACCAGAAGCTTACACCTGAACTCCCTAGTGAGAGGCTCACCAGAATGCTTCTCATTCATGGTAGAGTACACAGTTCCAACAGCACTTGGAACACGAGTTACATGGTTAGTACACACATTCAGTCACACAGGACAAGACAGGCTGCTAATTTGTTTCATTTACCTCTTTACAGCTATCCAAGTGTCAACTTGGTGCACCAAAACAATGCAACCAATCACCTCTTAACTAAAGCCACTATTTTAACATTCATTTCTGCTCGATAAAGCAGAAGCTTTTGCTTCAAGCTAACAGAGTACATGTGATCATAAGTACTATCAGATGGGAAGACCCAGACTTCAGCTCCAGTTCTTTTCAGTTTTGGAGTTCCACAGAGAGAGAAGGACAGGTACACTAACAATGTTATGCCAACATCCATTATTTTTAAATAAAGCATAGTTAACATCCAGCCTGAAGAACTAGATCTTTCCTCTTCCTCTCCCAAGACAACTTGAAACTGTATTTATCTAGCTTGAGGAAAATGAATATTCAGTTCAGTCTGTTTAGGATTTTTTTTCTCTATTTACAAAATACAGTTAAATAAAACATTTTACTATTTCTTGGTTCTTAAGTATTCACTTACAGAAGCTACAATAATCCCAATCAAGAAAGAATTCAAAGGCCGCAGAGTTCCGAAGAGGAAAACAATAAAGTACACACTTTACGAGTAGCTCTATAAAGGATAAATAATTGCATTTTGTTGTCATTTTCCCATCTAGCAGCACTACTGATGCAGAAATAACATAATAGTCCGTATCTTTTGATTCTAGAAGACAATCTTTTACAAGTACCTAAAGCATAGGAATGCCTTAGCAGAGGCACAATTCATCAAAAATTGCATTTCTTGCATACTGTAGTGACAGAACAAATAGTCACTACATTGCTGGCACAAGATACCCAACCTGAGCACAGAAAAGCACTGGTTCTCTTGTGTTGTCTTAGGTGTTGTACCACCTTCAAAGCAAGACAACAAAAACCTACTACACTTTATGCCAACAAAATGTTTTCTACCTTCATAATGTTACAATCATCAAGTAGCAATGGATCTCAGAAGAGTTTCTTGCTTTTCTCAGCAGTAATATACAAAAGTATTACTCACTGTAACATTTGCAACACACAGTATTGATTTCATGCATTCCTTTCATGAGAAAGAGGAAACTTTTTATCAGCAACTGATATTTGTGAGCTTTAGTAACCATCAATCACACAAAGAAAGTCTGCAGGAGTATTTTCAACATTAAAAATGCCATCAAAATCCTTCTTGAAGGTAGGGGATGATTTTTTTCCTTCTACCAAAAAAAGACTTCTATGGGTCCTTAAAACTGCAAAGCTACACCAGAGTATTGGAAAAATGGTATTTGTTATAAACAAATGATTGTCTGAACTACCTCAGTCTTATAATTCAGCACAACAGTGGTTGGAATATTTATATGACGTACTGAGGATGGAACAAAAATCCCACTAAAAACAATCACAATCTATTTCTTACAAGTACTAATAGCTGATGGAACTTTTCTTCAGTGTAACCAGAAATCTAAAAAATCAGACTGACTGATTTTTATACATATATATAAAAGATGCTTTCGAGGCTACGGTCAGGATTCACAAGTTTTCATGAATAGACTGGTTTATTTTATGAAGTATAATAATCAATGATGTTAGCTGAAGCCACCTCCCATGAACAGATCTCCTCTATGCTGCCTAGAGCAAGAAATGCCTTCCAAATTCATCTGGAGCTTCACAGTCCAATCCAGCTCAAAACCATGCTGGAACAAAGAAGGACAGTCCTATCCTTCCTTGTACCCCACTTATTTTAACTGTCTCATATGCTAGAATTGGCTCTCCCGTGTATCACCTCTATGGTCCTGTTTGATCAGACTACACCCACACAAACACTAGATGTTGGCAAGGAACTTTTCTACCTATTGCTGTCTTGCTTGGACAGTGTTACTTTAGATGACATGAAGCCATCCCTGAAAGCATACTAAAAATTCAAGTACTTGTCTCAGATTTAGTACAGGAACCTTTGCTGCTGATAAATGCAAAAAAAAAAAAAAAAAAAAAAAAAGGATAAAATTACAATTTGCATAACTGCAAGCATTTCAAAGTGATTTAGTGATCTTCACTGAGAATCAAAACCCATACATTGGTAAATTAGCTATGCCACAGCCTAAATTCCAATATAACCCTACCACTCAAACCTTAACAGCTTGAAAGAATGTCAGTTGTTACAAGCAAGGAAGGTGATGATGAAGTAACTATTTAAGTTTATCAAGTATATTTCCCCCCTTCCCTCCCCCTGAAGACTGTTTTATATTCTATGTATATTCTCTTAATCACCATGAAATTTCAACTATAGATTTTTCTTCGTCAAAAGGAGATGTGTCTGTCAAATGTTGTTAGGGATACGAAAATGATCTGTCTACCTGTTTCCTGACCTTTAAGGATGACTTGGACACCAAGGATAAGAGATTCAGATATCATATACGTGGGGAAACAGCTTGGTTGCAAAACAACTGAAAGGATCCATACATGACCTGGGAAGCAGATTCAGACTAAATTAAACATAATAAAACAAAGTTAACGCTTTCCCTACCTCAATTTAAAATGCATATAACCACTTACTCACCTGAAGCACAGGTTCTTTCTGTGGGACTGAGAATGCTCGCTCCTCACATGAAGATGGTTTGTGAGTGGGTGGAAGATCAATCCTGTAGTAAAGAAACAATCAAATACGACATGTCATGTTTGTGGAGTCCAACTGAATAGTCAGATATTATTTATTTAGCTGCCAAATCAAGCAACACTCAATATTCAGGAACACACACCTTTCACTCATCAATGACAGACGTGAAATATTGTAACGTAACACATCCACCACTGGCAATAATTCAGCCACACACTTTCTGCAGGAAAGCACCACCTGTAATTTACTCTTTACCCTATACAGTAGACTGAACCTCCCCTCATACACTCCAACTAAGTAGAATTAGGGACTACTGTTATCTATCATGTTTTCTGGGTTATGAGATACAGTTTGAGCAACTTTTTTAAGTACAGCCTTTCTTTAAAAAGCCTTTGAGAAAGCCTTACTATCAATTATTGCATGCAAGACTTTTTCCATTGTAACCTTCTCAGTGAAAGCAAATTATTCTAAAAGAATTTAAATGTTTAAGACTGTTCATATAAATATGTTTCAGCTACAGAATTTAAGACAAACCAATAAACAAGAAAATGGAATTTCTAACCCTGTCAGAAATTACTCAGAAGTTAACACTTGACTCACCTTGCTAGCTTAGTGCAAATGAGGAAACTTATTTTATGCTGAAGGTCCTAAGTTATTTAATTCTACTCCTCATTAAGTATATCTATAGACATGACAGACATTTTCATTTCTCATTAAGTGTTCACTGCGTATTGCATGTGCAAAAAGACTTGTATTTAAAGATATTTAAAGCCATCATCACTTCTTATGTATGCTCCAAACAGGGTCTAGATATCATCCACTTTAACTGATAAAGTCTTTTCAGACTTTTTTGTTTGACCATTTGGATGCTCAGAGAAGTAAATCATCTGTCTGCACCAGCGACTCGAAGAAACAACCAGAAAGCACATTAAATCTGTAATTTCTAAGTACGTGTCTGTGGGTGCTTGCTTAATTTTACAAATATATCAGAATAAATCTTAGCAGGCCTTCACTTCTGCAAAGCATGGTCAATTTGCTTTCAAATTAGACCCACAGGTACAACAAACTAGTAGTCTGTGGCATCAGTCAAGAGGGAACTCTCCCCTGCCCTCCAGTTAAATCTACAAATTTTCTTTCCAAAACAAAACCAAAACAAAAACACCCTTCTGAAGAGATAAAGCATTATATTACCTCTGAAGTCACTCTTATGATCTCATTTCTTTTACAGAAATAAGATTTCATATTTTCTACTCTGAAAATACAGCCCTGAAATTATGACAGCTGAACAGCTATTAAGTAAACTCGGACATTTACATTCCTGTATAGAACAAATGCTTTCTATATATTGCTTTCATTTGAAAAAAAAATCCAACACATACTCACACTTTGTCAAGATAGGATGGCCTTTTTTTCCTCGGGGTCAGCAGCACTGTCACAAAGATGGTAATGATAAAAAGAGCAAGGACTGCTCCAATCACAGCCCCTGCTACAGCAACAGAAGATGTCTGCTTAAATGGCACATCTGCAATGTGATAGCACAGATTACACCTTTAAGAAGTTCACATACTTTCAATACTCAGATAAGCTACTTCAGCCTTGTTCTGAGAAATGCTGCTTCCTTCTACCACCAAACTCAAAGCCTCATCCTGTATTAGCAGGATGTAAAACTCTTGCAGTTTTGACTCTACACACAGAGATAAAAGCTGGTTGAATTCAGACAGTTCATGAAACCATAACCTGATTTCAAAAGTGTCATTGACCACTTTTAATAGGTTAAGCTTCATGCTTTAAAAAATAAAGCTGCATGTTTTTATTTTCCATTTCAAGGCAAGATGACATTACAGAACACATGCTTTGGACTTGCATGAGCTAAAACCTAGACAACTATGGCTTTATTGGTAATCTTTCTTTAAAGACATTGAAGTCTGTAGAAAGTAAAAAGGAAAACGTAAAATCAGGAAAAAAATATATACTACTAGGAGCAATGGATATGCAAACTTACTAATTACTTGGCTTGCACTTATAAAACCAACCACTTAGGCCACCTATCATCTCTGGGACTTAACACTTCACGCTACAAGAAAGTAATTTTCATAAATAAATTTTAATGGAGGGGAGGGAAAAAAGGTGTCTTTTTCCTTCTAAAGCATTTTGTTTTGACCTTAGCATTGTCAAATCCAAAGTTTAACAACTCTCATACTGAATTAATGCACTTGTCAGTCTTTAAAGGTCACTCCTTTCACTCTGCTTGGAATTCAATGTTTAAGTCTCAAAACTGAAAAACCTGCTAGCACTTTGATTTAAAAATCATCAATCCCAGTTATTTCAAACTTGCATCAACAGGCTCATCAAAAAGTTGCACAGTTGGAATAGTTCATATTAGCTGCACTAAAACTGTTCCCTGTAAAATATCTGTAGCATACATTAAATGATGCTCTGATCTACATTGAATACTGAATGTGAAAGGTTAACAGCAAAGAATTTGAAAATTAACACAGTTCTATACCTGCAATATATCATCTACTTCAGTTGTTTTCCAAATAAGACATGACCATTCCCTATTTAACCTCTTACCAGAGGAAATTTTGAGAGCCCTTCAGCTACATGTTCTATTCACAGGTAAAAAAATGCTTGAAATATTCAATATGTTCTATCAGTGACAAAAATATAATGTTGTTCTGCCTGGATGCTGAAAAGCTGGACAAGATAATCTCTTACTAAAAAAAAAAAACCCAAAACACTTAATTTGGAATCTAATAAAGAGATTCTTGTCCTCTCATTGCACATGAAAGACATGACAGGAACACTACCCTGGGATCACACTCACAAAGGTATGTTTGAGTATTTATTAAGCTATGATAAAACTAAGACTTTTTTGTGACTTCCTTAAAGTTACAGAATAAAGTCACGGAGTAACAACTTGCAGGAGCAAATTCACTCCACAGGATTAATTAATGTCCCACCTTCAGTGATCATTGTTCTAGTTTACATAACGGCTTTCTTGGCACAAGCTCCATTTGTGTCAGATACCAAGCTGAACACCGTGAACCTGTCCTGGTTTTGCTGGGAGAGTCAATTTCTTCTCAGTAGCTGGAACAGTGCTGTGTCTCTGATTCAGCATGAGAATAATGTTGATAACACACTGATGTTTTGGCTTTTGCTGGACTGTTTTTTTTTTATGTGTGTCTCAGAGGAGGTATACCAAAGAAAACTGGGAGGGAGTATAGCTAGGACAAGTGACCCAAACTGGTCAAAGGAATACTATAAACCACAGAATATCATGCCCAATATGAAAACAGGTGAAGTTACCCAGAAGGGAGGCCACTCTGGCTTCAGGAAGGGGATCTGGCATTGGTCAGCAGGTGGGGTGCAACAGTATTGTGCACTTGTTTGTTTGGGTTTCTTTCCCCTTTTTGATTATCATTATTATTTACTATTATTGTTATCATATTTTACCTTGTTTTCAAATAGCAAGTTGTCCTTAACACACAACTTGTACTTTTGATTCTTCTCTCCATTTGACAAGGCTGGCAGGGAGAGAGGGGAGGTGAGTGAGCAGCTGTGGGGTGCTTAGCTGCCAGCTGGGTTTAAACCACAGCAGAAACATAAATCCTAGTTTCTTCTGAAGAATGGGCACATAAATCATTTTAACTGGCTTCAGTTTAGTTTATACTGAGTGCCCTCTTCTTTAAGCGAGAAAATTGCAAATAGCTAATATACGTTGTTAGGTCCAGAATTCACCAAGTAGCTTTGGTCTTGTGGTTACACCAGAAGAATTTCTTGACTTGTTCATACTAACTTCACAGTGCCATTTTTCCTGATAAATTCTGTTATAATGTTGAAACAGAATAGAGCATTACACTTTCAATCAAAGTCCAGCCATTGAATCCCATTTTGTGTGAGACAATAACCACCCATTTGCTTCTGAACACCAGCAAAAATAGTGATATCCCACAAGAGTAACAACACACAGGAACTGAGGTGCAATTACCACAGGGTACACTGAATTTACTTTCTTATTTCGCTTTGGCAAAAATGGAGTCTCAAAAATTTCATCAGTCCAACCAGGAAAATGATCAGAAACCCAGACCACCATGCCAAGGTGAAGAAGCCAGAGAGCACCTCACATCCATGGTGCCAGTTATGCAGCATTTTAACCACCAGTTGGTCAGAAATAGATGGGAATTGATTCACTCCAAAAAATACAGTTAAAGTAAAGCTACAGCAGCCAAAAATAAAAGAACGAAAAAAAATGAGACTTTTTTTTTTTAAGCACACAATTCCTAGATAGTGGATCAGCTGTGCTTTAAGTGAAATTGTTTGGGTAGCAACTATCACCACTTATTATTCTCTTATCTTCTTAAAACAGTTCCTGAAGACACTTGTTTTATAAGCTTAGGGTCAACAAGGGGAAATGCCTAAGAGACCAGATTAAACAGCTTAAACACTTCAGTTTATTCTAACCAACCCCTGAGTTTGTGCTTTTCTGTGCTTTGCTGTCTTCAATTTTTAAGAATATACCTTTGAAACATTTTTGAACACTACCTATGTTCCAGAATGTAACAAAAAGTTTATTCACACAACAGCCATTTGTACTTACAATCAATTCTTTTTACAGCAGACATAATGTACAAAACATTGCAACACGCATAAGCCCTATCCGTATTATCAACTTCAACTCCAGAACATTTCAACTTCTTAACCCATAGGAATTAAACATATATATATTTTAAAAATCAAAGCAAAAAATTCCACAGAGACAAAAGCAAGATATCCCATGTGGAAAACCGGTTTATGGTTATGTTTATTTCAAAGTAACACCATCTTTTAAAGATGATATAACAAGTATTTTTATTTGAAGAGAGGTATAATCTCTTTATTCCAGAAATAATTTGGATCAGAACCTTCTACTAGAAATTTAATTCCTTTCCTTGTGTTTGCACTCAGTCTACAGATACCCACTTGCTATTGTTCTTGAGACTTTGGTCAATCATGTATTAGTACTCCATTAATCCAAACACAAACTTAAGTTGTTTAGGGATGCTTTTCCATTGGAATTTCAAATAAAGCTGTTGTCTTATTTAACCTTTTTTGAAGACATGCAGTCATATGCAATCACAGTGTATTGTCTACAACGCTCAGTACAACTATGTTCATGAAGCTCTAAATGCTGTAAAGCTACCAAACATCGTGAGGCTAGAAAAGAACTTCCAGCAAGAATGCTCATAAAGCAGCTGTAATTATGCAGCCTATTTCACCTCAAAGGTAGCAGTCTTCCCTTTTCAGGTTCCAAACACTAATAGCCTTATCAGCTTCAGTTTCCTCAAGCTAAACACTTAAAAATGGCACTTCAAAAGATCTATTATTCTAAGTATGAATTTATCATTGTTCTGTAATTCCTCTAAAGTTATTCCATTCCTCCCTAAATAATCAGCAGATCTGGGCTGGTGAATCTGCTCAAGACAAAGTAGAACTACTTCAGATGTCAAACAAGATGTTCTACATATAATGGATACAATGTCATTTGAAAGAACAAGAACATGTTGTTAAATCAGTATTGATTATTTGCAGGGAAAACAAATCCACTGCAGTACAGAGACTGCACAAGTCATCAGAATTCCTGTTTCATAGATTCTGTAGTTGCATCACTGGAGAGTGTGTGTTCAATAAATGAAGTAGCAGTGCAAGTGTCCACTTCCCTACTAATAATCTGAAACTAGTTACCCTCTTCAAAGCAGGCATTGTAACTTATTCGGAAGCAGCGTAAAACCGCTGTTTAAACTTCCGGTCATAAAAACTCTTAACGTTTTTTGGCACCTGGATAAATAAGCAAATTCACATTAGCCTCCAGCTTCGGAATCTATATTATTCTCCTTAGTTGTGTCCAATTCTCCAATTCTTTCAAATTCAACGGTAAGATTCCCACATAGCCTCCGAAACAGGTCTCAAAAATTGCACCCTGTGTACTTGCAAAGAGCACCTCGTACGCGTTAATGAGTTTTGACATCCTGCCAATTACAGGCCCAACAAAATACCTTACTGTATGTATATACAGACACTAGAATAAGCTTTAGAAATCAATGACTATAAAAAAATAACTTTTCATCTTATTCAAATACAAGCCTTTGACCTGTTTACAGTTACTCCTCAAAATTTTGTTCATAAGTTAGTTTCAGTGCAATGACTTAAATTTTAAGTATATAGTTACAAGAAGGCTCATTGAAATGCTAAGAGGTATTCATTTTTATTCAGAAAAAAACCCCTAAAAAATAAAGCTTAAATTCTGCTGTAACTCATTTTACTGGGTAAAATACTTGCTATATAGAAGCATTAAGTTTACCATGGATGGTACCTACACTGGAATAATTCAAAGCCCC